TAACAAAAAACAACGCAACGTCGCACTCAAAACATTTAATCATTTTTCTTTAGGAAGTGTTATAGAATAATCTTAAATCTTAAATCTATTATAGGTGCTGTGGCACTGTTGCAGTTGGTACTCAAGGTACGTATATGACATTATGACGTATATAAAAATAATGATAATATTATATAAATTAAATTACTATACCTATAGTATATAATAACAGAAAATTAAATACTATTTTTTGAATAAATAATAGTATATTTTGTTCTATTATGAAACTCCATTACTAAAATATATTATAGAATATGTATTTTACATATTTATAGTTGAAATATTCATTAATATGCAAAATATGAAGTAATATACAAAATAAAATAACCACCATTTGCTTCAAAATAACGTGATTCATGRACATTACAAACAAAAACAGTAAACAAAAGTTCGAAAATAAAACACCAATGCAATATAAAATATAAATCTTAGCCGTAATAATAATAATAAATCAAAATTGAAACAGATTTTACTTCATAAAGTATAAGGTAAATCACTTGAGCTGGTATGTAAACACGAATTGCCATGTTGAATTTGAAAGCGGTTGTTGTAGCAATCTAATATAAATTAAATTTAAGTCATTTTGATCAGTTTTATTTTTTTCTCTGTACCTAATTGTTTTAGACTTAATGTCTAAATGTCTTCCTTAATGGGAAGTATATTTCCAATCTATTGGTTTAAAATGATATTCTGTTGTGTAAGAAAAAAACAATTTTCAGAGCAATACAATTGAAAGTTTTATATAGCATATTGCTCAATAAGAAAGTGAGTTTAAGATGTTATTTAAAAATTCGAAAGCATCCAAATTGAAATTACATTTTGAATATATCCTACAAAAACAAATAAAAACGACAAAACTTGCTTCTCATGGAATTGTTTTCCAATGCGATTTTAAATTACAATTGACATTTAATAGTTGGATAAAGATATGAAGTAGAGGGTCACCTATCGAATTATAGGCAAAATACGGTCTTATAATAATTGATTTCATATTTAATTTGACTACACGTTTATCCAAGAAGCAAGTAACCGTTATTYGTATAGACAATAGCATTTCCTATTTTTTAATTACCAAGGTATGTTTAAACTTTATTAACATATTTTATATTTACTAAACATCTCAGTTAGTAAAATTGATTAGTTTGAACACATTTTGGGTGTATAAATGATAMATTTTATCCTTAATAATAAAACTGTTTACTATTACTAATAGTTTAAACATTATAGATCATGTTATGATACAGAATAATGAAATTTTCAAATTCACTCAAATTCATTGTAGCGATAATTGATCATCGACAATAATTGTTATCATTAAACATCTGAAAGGGCATTATGCAATGAMAAATCTCTTGAAAAACTATTCTTTGAAACTATTCATTCTGATATTTCATTTACCTTTTTAACGATATAGTTTGTAGGTGGTTTTTCATTACTTAAAAAGAAAGAACTGAACATATTGAAAAACGAGATGTTTAGAGTATCATTCAATATAATTTGTTTCATTTACCAAACTTTTTTCTATAGAGGTGTACCTATAACTAAARTAACATTCAACATTTAATATAGATGTTTTGCTATCCGAAAAAATTGCCGTATTTTAATATTATTTTTAAATTAAACTTATAGGTATTATTAATAATTTTATTACAAGCAATAAACCGGTAACTGGATAAGTATGTGTTTGTTGTAAATTATATTGTTTATCCGTAAGCTTTTGTGTATAATTTATTTCTTTGTTATATCATGCAACTGGCATTTCCGTAATTGTTTTCTATTCACGAATTTGGCAATAACAGTTTAATCACGTCCATATTACCATCTAAGAAACTTGTTTTGAACTTTGGCAATACATTCTGTGCTACTTCCAAGATTTAGAATCTAAGTTGTGGAACGTGTTTGTATTCCATTGATCGAGTAATTATTTTAGGGGTTAAGTATACTCAGATCTTAGTGTCACATTAAAAGCTTGATTATTATTATAAAATGAGAAAATACATTTTGTCGATGATTATATATGATGTTTATTATATTAACAAAAAGCTAAGAAATTATTAAAAATATGTTTATTTTTTTATAAACACAATTATGGAAAAAAGTATATTTCATTATGTTGTACGAGTATTATTATATACATTATATTATTATTATTTTACTGTATTTTGTAATTCAAATTTACAAATATCTTGTTTTGTTTTTGAGCTCTGGCCTGTATTATTTTAAAAATAAAAATATGTTGTATTCTTGGTATTTTTTTTTATGTGTACTCATAAAAAATGTACTACATATAATTTTTATAAAATTGCATTTAAAAAAAAGCATATTATGATGTATTAGTAATTTGGTTTTGGATGTGTAAACATCTATATGCACCATTTCCTTGAAAATGTATGGCTGAATATTTAGTAATTAACAAATGAAAATATGTTACCACAAAATACGAAACGTATTTTGCTAATGGCTAATCTCGGAAACTATAGATTGTTATTGCTAATGTCTATACATGACATTATATCAATAGATTCTATGAGACTCAGGATGTGTTTTTAGCTTTTTTTTTTGTCGATTTCCATATGCTGATATAGAGTTTGTTGCACATGAATTTCGTTATTGTTCACAAAAATCGAATATTTTACGGTTAAAATTATTAGAAATATGGCATATCACTAGAAAAGCGTTTAGATGTTTCACATAGATCTTGTGTGTATGTCATTAGATCGTTAACAGGAGTGCAATTTGTTTAGTATAATTCAAGATTATGTTATATTTA